ATCTAATGAGTGGCGCAAATCAGCAATGGCCTGCGCTATTGCACTTCCAGGAATCGATGCCACATAAAATCGAAGGGGTGGCGGAACATACCAATCGAATGGCTTGCATGACTCTCTCTTTACTTTCAAGTCATGTTAATTAATTACTCAGGAGATGGGGTACGTGATTAAGTCACGATTTATTGCACACGAACCGTGATTGTTCTTATCGGTTGATGTAAAGTTAAGGGATCCCCTCCGCTAGTTTGATTTCTTTCGAGTTCAGTGCGAAGCAGGTCGACATCATTCACTGATCCCTTTCCAAATTGGTATTTCACGCGAAGGTTCTCATTGACATATTCTTCAAAGGGATTAAGCCTAGAACCGATGTTTATTTGTCCCATGCGACGACGAAAGCACATCTTTGATATCGAGTGCTCCTTAAGGATAATCCATGGTACTTCATCAATACAATGCAATCATCATGTGTTTGGAAATTAAGGGTAAAAATGAAGATTTCCCAAAGTTCAAGTTCAAGTTCAAGTCCCAAAGTTCAAGACACATATTGGCTCTCTGGCTTTGCCTTTGCCGTGGACGTTATGAAGCATTTAAACGACTTGAATCTGAAACTGCAAGACAAGGGAGTGTTTGTGCAGGAACTCTACTCAACTGTTAAAAACGTTCCAACTCGAGCTACTCCCGTTTTCGAGACCTGAAGGACAGCGTGTTTTTGCATTTCCTCACTTTGCATAGTATCGCCTTGTCCTTCAATACGACTGACAAGTACAGCAAGATGTTGAGTGATTTACGTGAGTTTTGCCGTCAGTTTTTCGACTATAAGAAAATCGAGGAGCTCGAGCTGCTGTCTTGTCCATTTACCTTTGACTCTATTAAAGCTCCAGACGAACTTCAACTGGAACTGATCGACTTACAGTGCGATTTACCTCACGAGGAAAAGTTCAGCTCTGGTATAACTCATCACTGAATAAAACAAAAGTCTTTAACTTGCGAGAACATGCCAAGACAATGCTGGTGCTCTTCGGTTCCACTCATGTCCGTGATCAAACGTTCTCGTCGAACAGCAACAAATCAAAGTTGAGGATAAAAATGACTGGCCAACATTTGAGTGCAGTGCTACTAATCTCCGTGTCAGAAATGACACCTGATTTCGAAAAACTCATGTAGAAAAAAACTGTGGGCTGCTGCACGTGTCCCCCTGAGATGTTAATGACTTTAATTTATTTTTAATTTCGAGTATTCGGTGCTTCTGTGGCCCGCATGTTAACAAGTTTGCTCACCTCTGGAGTAGAGAGTATAACCAGAGACGACACTCCTAAAAGTAGGGAGTGGAAATATTACAGAGACATCTGGTGGTTTGTTATCAATAACACTTCCATGTGCTTCATGGGAGCGGAATCGGGAATCGACTCGTTCGGGGATTCGACCCAAAGGGATCCCTCGAGTCAGATTCCCGATTCCCTGTAATATTTCGACCCCCCCTCCTACTCCTTGGAGTGTCGCCTCTAGTTATATTCTCTACTTTATGGTAACACGCATGTCTTGTTGAGTCCATCGCTCAGCCATGGAGACATGCGTCTAGCGACTGACCGTCGCCGGCCAATCAGAATGCAGCTCCTCTCAGCGTCATGATTCACGGGCTATTCACGTATCTTGAACCCATCTCCCAGACACCCAAGTGGAAATATGGAAAATAATATGCTCATGGTGTCTTGTGGTCTTCGGGGAAAAAGTAAACTGTTCAAACTTTAAAAAAATTTTTTTAAATTCCCGCTGTATTAAGTGTATTGTTAATTAGATGTTATTTTTGTTTAGCATGAATTCTATAGAGTTCTAGTTCCTCATCTGGATCTGATGTCCTTTTCTGGACTCAGACATTTTTAAGTCCTTGTTCAAAAATGAGCAATCATGGGTGAGGGCGCCAAAATATTATGTCATGTATTCATTCGCTTCGAAAATGTAAAAAGTTTAAACAATGCAGCACAATTAGTTAGATAAGCCTCAGTAGGTGTGACGAAGACTAAGGTTTGTGAAAAGGTTTGTGAAGAGCTCTCAAAATGTAGTTTGACCTAAACCGACTGCATGTTTTTCCTTGTTTACGGTAGAATAGAATATAAATGGAAATAATACAATGGAAAAAAAAACAGCCTTTCAGGCTGGTGCTCATGATTGAATAATGCTAATGGCATTTTTGAGCTTGGGTTCAGCAAAGGACAACCTTTCAAATGATATACATGGTGTTCATAGTTCCTACATATATAATTCTTAAAATTTTCTTCACCTGAATATGCGGTCAGTGGTAAACTAGGCTAGACACGTGTCTATGGAGGAGTTGATGTGCACACGCCAGGTGGAGGATCGACAGTGACATCTATTTTGCGACCCTGTCAATGTATGGGATTCGAGCGGAGTGTCGCCTCTAGCTATACTCTCTACTCCAGTGTTTCCCAAACGGTGTGCCGCAAGTAAGGCTTAGGTGTGCCGTGAGATTTGAGGGTTGAAAAAAAAAACTAAAAACCTAAAACTAAAAAAACATAAAAAACAAGCGGGAATGCCATCTCTTAGTGGAAAACGAGCTTAGAGTTGCACTATCACGCCTCGTATCAAACTGCTGTGTTCAGCGAAGCAAGCACAAGTTTCCCATTGAAAGTAAGTAAATGGCTGGGTGTGCCGTGGAAAGTTCATGTGTCCTTGTGTGCCGCAAATAAAAAAAAGTTTGGGAACCACTGCTCTAATCTATGCTGAGATAGAGTATACAGTAAAGTAGGGTACATTTTTGCTCGCTCGACCTATTTTGGCATTCGTGCCTGATCATCGTGAAATTTCCCGAGGGAACGATCGCGCATGCACACACCTGGTGCGAGACTGATCCGATCTCACCGAGCTGTCGTAACTATCGCACATATCCCTCGCAGAGCGTCTCTCCCATGGTTTTCCGTTTCTTTGGATATCCCCACCACCTTCCGCGTACCATCAGGCCAACTGCACCATTGTCGGAGAATTGAAAATACATTTAAAATCTGAAGGCTTTTACAGTTGGATTCTTGGCTTTTTCTTCCAGAGCATCCCCTGTGCCTACCCTCTGTTCTAGTTGATTCAAACGCTGCAAAAACCGACGTTTAAAAGGGAACCTCTGATATCGGCTTATTGGTGGGCTAGTCGAATAGGTTGTTCGATAAACCGATATGAACATTTATCGGATTTTTTATCGGCCCGATAAATTATCTGTTACATTCCTAGTCTCAAGTCATCGTCGCTTAAATGACCATAACTTTTGTTCTAATTAACTTGAAGAGATGAATGAGGTGTCATTGAAGAGATTTTTAAATCTCTTCACGCCCTTTTCAATTATGTGTGATTCATGGAGTTCCAATCGAAACCAAGGTCAAAGAGTCCGAGCTTTGACCTTGAATTCTGGGGGAAATAGTAATTAATATATATATAGAAAAGCAGAAACAGGAAGAAGAAGTTCTCAATGGCATGGATCGACTACCAGAAGGCATACGACTCGATGCCTCCCATTCGTGGATCATCGAGTGCCTCAGGATGTACAAGATCAACCCTGTGGTGGTCAACTTCCTACAACAGACCATGCCCCGCTGGAAGACGGCCATGTCCCTAAATGGACAAGACTCCACCCTGACAACCCGCAAGATTTCCATCAACCGCGGGATCTTTCAGGGAGACACGCTGTCTCCTCTCCTCTTCTGTCTGGCTCTCAATCCACTCAGTACCGAATTGTCTCGGACTGAATGCGGCTATTACGTAGGAAAGGGGAAGAATGCAGACCATTGCATGAACCACCTTCTCTACATGGACGACCTGAAACTCTACGCCTCGAACGAGAAAGAGCTCGATAGCCTACTTAACGTCGTCAGCATCTTCTCGAAAGACACCTGCATGAAATTCGGACTCGACAAGTGCGCGAAACTCTCTGTCCACCGCGGAGTCCTCACCCCTATGGGAGACATCACCACCATCAACGACGAACAACTCCGAGAGCTCACGGCCACTGACACCTATACATATCTCGGTGTGGAAAAGAACTCTTCCGTGGTTGCCAAGCGCACGAAGCAGAGACTGACGACAGAATACAAACGCAGAGTCCGCCTCGTACTAAAGACCGAGCTGTCCGGCAAAAATAAGATCTCTGCCCTTAACAGCCTTGCCACCCCTGTCCTCAACTACAGCTTCGGAGTTATCGATTGGTCACCTACGGAACTCCAGGCCATCGATCGAGCGACCAGAAAACTCCTAACCATGCATCACACCCGCCATTCGAAGGCTGCCGTTGAAAGACTCTACCTTCCGAGATGCAAGGGAGGGATGGGACTGATCGAACTCGAGTCCCCAGTGGCGTAGCTACCGAATGTGCAGGCGGTGCGACTGCACCGGGGCCCACGGGCCAGAGGGGCCCAGACGCCGAGCTACGAAGAGGGGGGGGGGGGGGGGGG